TAAAGGACACAATCCCCTGCAAAACATCCTGAGAAGCACTTTAATTACCCGTTGGGTTGCTCCCCCTACTTCTCGTTTAAAGCCCTCCTACTAGATACATCCTACCTCTGTTCATGTCCAGCATTTATTTTAAGGTTTTAACCACTACATTTGGCACGGCCAATAGGATTTTAAATCTCTATGTGTTTTGTCTATATGTGGATTATATTAATTGTATTGTTTATATGCTTATTGCTTGTTGTTTTTATTGATGTGTTGTTGGGCTTGGCCTCATGTAAGCCGCTCCGAGTCCCTTGGGGAGATGGTGGTGGGGTATAAATAAAGTTATTATTATTATTATTATTATTATTATTATTATTATTATGCAAAGCGATCCTGAGATCTGCAGTTTGGAGAGACGTCGGCGTGTTTGGCTGAGAAGACCAAAGGCCTTGAAATAATATATATCGATATCTCTACATTTTGTTTGCTTTACATTCTTTTTCCAAATTTATTGGGAATTTTTTGTTTTCAAAGCCACTGGGAGAAAGGCGACGTCCAAAGGCAACCACAAGCAGGAGAGACACGACACTCTGCACTGAATTATAATTAAATAGGGGTTTAACAAACCATTCGACTAAAGAAAAGAGAAAACACGAGCAGTTGCAAAACTGCTTTTAAAAACAGGGGAAATGCACTATTATTGATCAATGCCTTTTGATAGACAAACGGTTTAGTTCAAACATACAGAGGATTTCAGTAGATTTGGTTGTTGCTGATGAAGAAGAAAAGGGAAATAATATTAAATTATATAGTTTAAAAAACACCATGAAATTATGTTTTTAATGTGTTCCCTGAAGCGGAAGATATTCGCCCCAAATCTCTTTGGAATTAAACAGAAAATGAATTAAAAAGGGGGTTCCGACATAGAAGGCTGTTCAGCCACATTCTGAATAAATACATCCATATTCATGTTTCTGAAGGATTCATGCAAGATGAGCACTGGCCCGGTTCTCATCTCATGCATATGTCCCTTTCATCTCGTATCACTTTAAGGAAATCCAAGCAAAATATTCCAAGAAATTGAAATCCTCAACATGGCAATCGGTGGAGCGGAGAAGACCTTATTTAATATCCTTTTTCAATACAGATTTCCCCCATGTCACTCAAAGAGGAACAAGGACAAAAGGGGGCAAGGTCAGTAATACAGAGTCAACTGTCTTTGTAAGTTCAATTTCATATATATTCGCTTGGGGACCCGGCGGTGTCCAGGTTACTTGGGAAATGCATTGCTTGTCTGTGCTCCAAGTTTACTCTAGATCGAATGTCAGATGGGTTCACTGGCTGCGGGTGAACTACAACTCCCATGTGCAAGTTCCATGGTCCATCCCATGTGCATTCTTCTAACCCATGAAGGGTTAGAAGGCAGGATCATCAAGTTTGCAGACGACACCAAATTGGGAGGGATAGCCAATACTCCAGAGGACAGGAGCAGAATTCAAAACGATCTTGACAGATTAGAGAGATGGGCCAAAACTAACAAAATGAAGTTCAACAGGCACAAATGCAAGATACTCCACTTAGGCAGAAAAAACGAAATGCAAAGATACAGAATGGGGGACAACACCTGGCTCGAGAGCAGTACGTGTGAAAAAGATCTTGGGAGTCCTCGTGGACAACAAGTTAATCATGAGCCAACAATGTGATGTGACGACAAAAAAAGCCAATGGAATTTTGGCCTGCATCAATAGAAGCATAGGGTCTAAATCTAGGGAAGTCATGCTACCCCTCTATTCCACTTTGGTTAGACCACACCTGGAATATTGTGTCCAATTCTGGGCACCACAATTCAAGAGAGATATTGACCAGCTGGAATGTGTCAAGAGGAGGGCGACTAAAATGATCAAGGGTCTGGAGAACAAGCCCTATGAGGAGCGGCTTAAGGCGCTGGGCATGTTTAGCCTGAAGAAGAGAAGGCTGAGAGGAGATATGATAGTCATGTATAAATATGTGAGAGGAAGCCACAGGGAGGAGGGAGCAAGCTTGTTTTCTGCTTCCCTGGAGACTAGGACGCGGAACAATGGCTTCAAACTACAAGAAAGGAGATTCCATCTGAACATGATGAAGAACTTCCTGACTGTGAGAGCCGTTCAGCAGTGGAACTCTCTGCCCCGGAGTGTGGTGGAGGCTGCTTCTTTGGAAGCTTTTAAACAGAGGCTGGATGGCCATCTGTCAGGGGTGATTTGAATGCAATATTCCTGCTTCTTGGGAGAATGGGGTTAGACTGGATGGCCCATGAGGTCTCTTCCAACTGTTTGATTCTATGATTCTATGATCCTCCTACAAACTGCATCAGCATGCATAGTGCGTCATGGGGGCCGTGTGCCAAGTTTGGTTTTGATTTGGATGTGGGTCTTCAAGTCCCATCATCCATGGTCCACCTCCCCCAAACCGCACTAGGATGTAAAGTGCGTCATGGGAGTTATTTGTGCCAAGTTAGTCCAGGTCCATCGCTCATGCAGGTCACAGTGGCCTGTGAAATTGGGAGCCAATCAGAAAGCTGCCATATACATACACATACAAACATACCCACAGACCCACATACATATATTAACATTCACTTTTACTATATATATAGATATAGACTAGCTTGGGGTCCCGGCGCTGCCTGGGTTATTTCAGAAAGGCATTGTTTGTGTGTGCTCCAAATTTAGTTTAGATCCAGTGTTGGCTGGGTTCAGTGGGTGCAGGTGAAATATAGCTATATGGTCCATTCTACTCCAAACCACACCAAAATGTAGAATGGGTCATGGGGGCTCTGGGTGCCAAGTTAGGTCTTGGTCAGTTATAGGTGTGGGACACAATGGTCTCAGGAAGTGAGTGAATATACTGCAAGTCCCATCATACCTGGTCCATTAGCCCACAAACCCCAGCCAGACGTAGAGTGGGTCATGAGGGCTCTGTGTGTCAAGTCTGGTCTTTATTGGTCATTGGATGAGGTTCGCACTGGTCTCAGAAAGTGAGTGAATGTGTTCCAGTTTTAGTCCAGATCTGTCATTGGTGGGCATCACAGTGGTCTGTGAAAGCCGAAGTGTTTGAAAGTACTTCAAATCCCATAATCCGTGGTCCATCCACCCCCAACCTGCACCAGGACGTAAAGTGGGTCATGGTGGTTATATGTGCCATGTTTGGTCCAGGTCAGTCATTTGTACGGGTCACAATGGTCTGTGAAAGTGGGAGCCAATCAGAAAGCTGCCACATGCACACATACCCACATACAAACACTGACTTTTATTATATAGATAATATTATAGACTTTTATGGAGCCCCCGGTGGCGCAGTGGGTTAAAGCACTGAGCTGCTGAGCTTGTTGATCGAAAGGTCGCAGGTTCGATTCCGGGGAGCGGCGTGAGCTTCCGCTGTCAGCCCTAGCTTCTGCCAACCTAGCAGTTCGAAAACATGCAAATGTGAGTAGATCAATAGGTACCGCTCCGGCGGGAAGGTAACGGCGCTCCATGCAGTCATGCTGGCCACATGACCTTGGAGGTGTCTACGGACAATGCTGGCTCTTCGGCTTAGAAATGGAGATGAGCACCACACCCCAGAGTCAGACATGACTGGACTTAGTGTCAGGGGACTACCTTTACCTTTTACTATAGACTTTTATTATATAGATAATAACACACACACACACAAACACATATAATAAAACTGAAAATACATATGTATGTGTGTGGTTGGGTATCCACTTACACAGACAAGCTCCTGTCTCTACAAACAACATTAGCTCCCAATCCTCAGGAGACACCAATGACATTGCAGATTATAGCGAGCACCATGAAAATGTCCAAGAGCCCTGCCAGTGGATCTGGACCAAACTTGGCACACATACCTGATATTGCCAACATCTGATCACTGGAGGGGTTTGGAGGGAACTGACCTTCCTTTCTGGGAGTTGTAGTTCACCTGCAACCATTGAAACTGTGAGCTTAACCGATGATGAACCTGGACCAAACTTGGCACACAGAACCGCCATGACTAACTCAACCTACTGGAAGAATCTGAGGGGACTGACCCACCATGGTGGGAGTTGTAGTTTACCCTACAGCCAGAGAGCACACTAAACCCCACCAATGATGTCTATAGAGCAAACTTTACATACTGATGGAGTTTCTCAGGGTTAACCTGGCATGATGTGAGTTGTAGTTCACCCACAGCCTTATGCATTTTTGAGAATTAAAAAATTGACTTTTTCAAATACCGGGTCCCCAACCTAGTATGTTTGTATGTGTGTGTATATATATATATGTATGTATGTATGTAGGTAGGTATGTGTATATATAATATGTATGTATGTATCACAACTCAGCTTGGATTCTGCTAATTAGTTTCTGAGATCCTTTTGCACAGTTTCTCTCCTTCTCTCTCTCTCTAATGACTTCCCTAGGTACAATTCTCCTGTTGATGCCACCTAGAATCACATTGGCCAGTTCCGCTGCTGCATCATACTGTCGGCTCATGCTCAGCTTGGGGTCTGTTAATAAGACTCTGAGATTCCTTTCACATGGACATATATAATGATTTTCCTAGACACAATACTCCTCTTAATGCGGCTTAGAATCACATTGGCCTGTTTCTCTGCTGGACAGCATTATTGGCTCATGGAGTCTCCTAAGACCCCCACATCCCTTCTGCACAGGGGAGATAGATAGATAGATAGATAGATAGATAGATAGATAGATAGATAGTGTGGTGACTTCCCTATAACAATACTCCTCTTGATGCAGCCTAGCACTGCACTGACCTGTCTCGCTGCTGCATCATACTGTTGGGTCATGCTCAGCTTGGTGTCTCCTAAGACATCCATCCACATCCCTTTTCCACAGGAGATGGAAATAATATAATATAATATAATATAATATAATATGACTTCCCTAGATACAATACTCCTTGATGCAGCCTAGAATTGCATTGGCCAAGGGTGTTGAGACGCAAAGAGGATATGTGTGTGTTGTCCTTACGATCTTGAGCATGGTGCGGTTGTCCCGGAGGGAGCCCACCATCCCGATGAAGGAGACACCGAACATGGTGAGGCCCAGGAGGAGGAGAAGGATGGCTGGGGCCAGGAAGAGCCCCTCCAGTGTCCGGTGCTTCTGCCGTTCCACTTCGGCATAAATGCCCACACACAGGATCACAAGGCCAATCAGCTGTGGGAGATAAAGAGGAAAAGGCCAATGGTCAGCAGGTGCAAAGCAGAAGCAAAACCCAGGGAGGAAAAAATCTCATCATTTCTGCGATGCTGTTTTTAAAAAGTGAGTTCCAAAAGAGCCTGGAGGTTTGTGGCCTTGGGAAACTACAGCTCCAAGGACTCCATCCCACTGAGCAACAGCCATGCAAGTGGGGCCAAGCGGTATCCATTCTATGGTGCATATTACTATTATCATTTATTTTTCTCCCGCTTTTCTCCCATGGCTCAAAACAGCCATGTATTAATTTTAATTTAATTTTAATCGTATTGTTATTGGAATTGTATGTGTTTTTAGGCATTGAATAATTGCCTATATGTAAGCCGCCTTGAGTCCCCTTTGGGGTAGAGAAAGGTGAAGTATGAAGAGGGCAAATCAATAAATAAATTACTATTACTATTATTATATTTAAATAAATTTCATTATTATATAGTTAATATATTGCACTATGTAACACAATTTTTGTTCCTGTGTCATAAATGCCATCTCCTGATTGGTTCTATCATAAAAACATGGGAAAGGTTTATTAGACTGCACAAACTTAGTCTTTGTGGGAGGGAGGGACACCCTCCAACACGTTATATTATTGTTATTGTATTATAATTATATTTATTCTATATATTACATTATATTACAATTATATTTATTACTTATTATTATTATTATTATTATTATTATTATTATTATTATTATTTGAAACACAACAAGATTCGTTCTGCAGTGCAGATGCGCCCACGAAGGCCCCAAACGGTCCTAATGAGTGAGGCTGCCACTCATCTCATCCCCCTAAACTGCAGAGCTCATCCACTGCCTCAATTTCCATCCTGTCTAGTCTTTGTTTGGTGAATTTGACGGCTAACTGGAGGAGTGGTCATTGTTCCTACAAGGATGGAAACCAGACTCGGTTTAATGAAGCGGGTTTTTAAATTCTTTTGCTAAATGGGAAGAAGAACAAAGAGGAGTTAATGAGTTTCCAAACGGCTTCAGCGGCTCCAGAGCTGATCTATGACATTGAATGCAAATGTCCTGATTTTAGGAAATAGAAAAACTCCGCCAGTTGTTGGATATTTCAAGGAGGACTCGGCGTCTCCAACACGTTGGGGAGTGAAAGTCTAAAAAAGCCCTTTTCTCCATGCTCTGAGACTTCTAGCATTCAGGGCCCAGGCCAAATTTATTTATTTGCTGCATTTCTATGCCACCCCTCTCAGCCCGAAGGCGACTCAAGGCGGCTTACACTGGCACAATTTGATGCCACAATGATAATAAAAACCAAATTAAAACATTTAATTCATATTATAAAAACAATGTAAAAACATTAAAAACATATAAACACCAATAACTTCCTATTAGCTCATTTCCCGAAGACATTGTCAAGCCGTTCCATAGTGAGATGCAGAGCCAATCTTCAGAAATGGGGCCTCTAAGTGGAGTCCACGACATGCGAGTGTGTTGGAGAGCAAACCACAGACCACGGACTACCATGTGGTCTGAGCCCTGCCACATGCACAAGGGAGGGCCTTCTCCCAGTAACACCAGAATCACTCCAAGTGGCCAGCTTCTGCTCAAAGGACATTTAGCATTTATGCCAAGTTTTTTATTTTGTTTTTGGTTGTTTATACAGTATAACTGTGCCCTCGGTTGGCTTCTGACATGATAAATAAATAAATAGCATTTTCTAAGTGGTGCTTTTGCCAGGGCCTTCCTCGGAACTAAAGCCAATTTCATTGACGATCTCCCATCCAAGGACTAGCCAGGGCTGACCCTACTTAGCATCCAACATAAAATGGATGGAAATGGTGGTTTTCCTTCCACTCGAGTGCCTCCCAAACTTTTCTGACAGCAATTAATTGAGTGCACAAAGACCAGGGCATTTCCACTCGCATCCGTTGGGCTGGAACCGGCAATTTGGGCCAAAGAGTCAGAAAGGCTATCAAAAATAGAGGCATTTTATGTCTATCATTCGTACGTAAGCCACGATAATGCTGGAAGCAGTTGGAGGTGAGGCAAACTTGCCCAGGCTTCAAAAGCAAAGCAAGCGAGACTTTCACAGTCAACGCTAGACATCTTCCGCATTCTAAGTGATGCCAATGCAAAGGGTAGAGACACTAGCCATACCTTTTGCTCCATACCTGTCCTGTCTCTGTACAAACCTTCCTATTGGAATTATGATCCGAATCCAATGGCAAGAAATAGTTCACAATGTGTGTTTATGCTGTTCAAGACAAAAGGGGAATCATGCAGTGAGTTCAACTCTATGGCAAAACTTTACGGCCTTCCTCTGAGGCTGAGAGAGTTTGGCTCAAATTTAGCTGCAGCGGGGATTCAAACCCAGTCCAATGTTCAAATCATATCGAAATGCACCATTGTTATCCCATTGGGTTTATGGAGGAGCATATGCTGCAAAAGCACTCAGTCCCATGGTAGTTCACACCCTACTCACATTCCGTCTGGCCTACTGCAACACTCTCTACATGGGGCTGCCTTTGAAGACAGTTTGGAAGCTACAATTAGTTCAAAGATGTTGAGATAAATGATTTTAATGATTTTAGTGATTTCTGCAGTGGCTCTAGTCCTTCCTTGAGGGTCATTCTCAGAAGGTGTTGCTGGGGGACACCTGCTCATCCTCACAACCATTGACTTGTGGGGTCCCGCAGAGCTCTCTTTTGTCTCCTATGTTGTTTAACATTTACATGAAGCCGCTGGGAGAGATCATCTGGAGTTTTGGGGTCAAATGTCATCCGTACGCGGATGATGTTCAGCTCTATCACTCCTTTCCACCTGCTACCAAGGAAGCTGTGCAGGTCCTGAACCAGTGCTTGGCTGCTGTATCAGTCTGGATGAGGGCAAACAGACTGAAACTTAATCCAGACAAGACAGAGGTACTCCTGGTCAGGCAAAAGGCCAAACAGGGGATAGGGTTACAGCCTGTGTTAGGCGGGGTTATACTCCCACTGAAGACAGAGGTTCGCAGTCTAGGAGTGATCCTGGACTCACCGCTGAGGCTGGAACCCCAGGTTGCGGCGGTGGCTGGGAGAGCTTTTGCACAATTAAAACTTGTGCGCCAGCTGCACTCTTTCCTTGGGAAGTCTGACTTGGCCACTGGTTACATCCAGAATAGACTACTGCAATGCTCTCTACGTGGGGATGGCTTTGAAAACTTCTCGGAAGCTTCAATTAGTCTAACGGTCAGCAGCCAGGATGTTAATTGGAGTGGCGTACAGGGAGCCCACTACTCCTTTGTTGCACAAGCTCCACTGGCTGCCGATTGGTTTCCGGGCACAATTAACCTGTACACCCCTGAACGGTTCTGCCCCAGATTACTTGTCCGAACGTATCTCCTGCTATGAGCCATCACGAAGCTTAAGATTGTCAGGAAAGGCCCTACTCTCGATCCCACCACTCTCGCAAACCTGACTGGTAGGGACGAGAGACAGGGCCTTCTCGGCAGTGGCCCCCCCGTCTATGGAACTTCCTCCCTAAAGACATCAGATTGGCCACCTCTCTCCTGTCCTTTAGAAGACAAATGAAGACCTGGCTCTGGGGCCAGGCATTTGATTAGATGAAAGTGACAATAGGAAAGGAATTTGGGTTTGTGACATTCGATTTCCCGGCTTGATTCTTGATTTTTGGTTTTACTGGCATTTTAATATCATTGGTAATTAAATTTATTGACTGATGTGTATGATGTTTTAAGATATTTTTAATGTTTTACTATTTTATTGTATTTGTATGATGTATATGTTGTAAGCATTATTGATGCCTTTGTGAGGCCGCCCTGAGTCCCCCTTGTGGGGAGAAGGGTGGGATAGAAGTGTATGAAATAAATAAATAAATAATGTTTATGTATGTGTATAGTCTATTTATGTCCTGGCATTGAATGTTTGCCATTTGTATGTTGTCCTCCACCCTGAGTCCCCTTCAGAGTGAGAATAAATAAACAAATAGTGGTATGAGGAGGTAAGAATGAAAATAGACTGAAATTGAGAGTTGGTAGAGAAGGTTGGGTAAGGAGATAAGTCTGAAGGATAGAGAATAGATGGTGGGGAAGTTTAAGTAAGCTGAGAAGGTGAGAGAGAGGAAAATTATTGATGGTAATTGGTTAGTAAGAAAGAGAATGGATGCTCAAGAGAGAAATCCTGATTTGTCTCATTTATGTGAACTACTGGGAAATCTCAGTTCTTGTGGGTTTTTTCGGGCTATATGGCCATGTTCTAGAGGCATTTCTCCTGACGTTTCGCCTGCATCTATGGCAAGCATCCTCAGAGGTGAGCGATTTGCCTCATTTTTCAACATCTAAAGACATTGAATGAGAAGCTGGACCATCTTTTTACATGGGTTGGTTTCCTTAATTGTGAAAAACCCAACTCAAAAGCTTTGGGCATGGAATGAAGAGGATGATGTGACCTCAAAACTATCTAATCACCTCTCAACAAAAGATTCCCCCAGGCACAGCCAGGCCATCAAATGCTAATCAAGGTGGTCAGTTGAAACATTCACACCTAGCTCCAGCAGACAAGAGTTCTTTGCCCCACCCTGGTCATTCCACAGATATATAAACCCAGTTTCCTAGTTCTAATAGACCTCACTACCTCTGAGGATGCTTGCCATAGATGCAGGCGAAACGTCAGGAGAAAATGCCGCTAGAACATGGCCAAATAGCCTGAAAAAACCTACAACAACCTAGTGATTCCAGCCATGAAAGCCTTTGACAATATATTCAAGGACAATTGGTCCCTGGACAGGGATGGGGAGGGATGAGGACTGCAGGAGGGGCAAAGGGAGAGAGAAATCAAACCATCTCGGGATAAAGGGATGGAGGGAGGACTACACCATGGAGAGAATCTGCAAGGGAGGGTAGATGGATGGACTACTGGGATGGATTTACAAGAGGCATCTAGAAACGCAACCTCAAATTCAGACATTCAACAGTTGGACTTTCTACATCAACAGCAGCTCTTACA